AAAATTTTCTTGGCACAGATTTCTGAAACATTGAACGATCTACTAAAATTTTCTCAAACTTCATGGTCTGAGATCAAAATTTTACACATTAAATGGAAAAAATCGAAATTTCAAAAAATCTATATTTTTCAACGCAAATAAAAACGAGAGGGTTGACGTTAGAGACTGGACCTTAAGAACTTTTTTTTACAGAATTTAATGCTGAAGAAGGATCAGTGATGGTTTTTCCGAAAAATAATGTTCTACATAGTTTGCAGGAGAAATAAAGGTTAAAAAATCATTTTTCCATGTTAAATCAATGGAAAATCTGATCTGAAAAGTTGATATTAAGGGCTCAAATTTTTACAGAATTTTTTTTATAGCATATATAACAAGAATTTTACGTGCAATCGAAAAAAAAATTATCGACTTTTTTTGGGACACCCTACTACTGTCTGTCCACTCTAAGTTGGCGGAACTAAGGAATTTTGTAGTTTAGATATTAAAGAATTGTTGTACTGTGTGCTTTTAAAACAGATTTTATATTATAAATAATACTAGTACATATTATATACTAGTATTATTTATAATATAAAATCTGTTTTAAAAGCACACAGTACGACAATTCATTAATATCTAAACAACAAAATTCCCTAGTTCAGCCAACTTAGAGTGGACAGACAGTACATATATATTAAATCAACAGTTTTTGTGGTTAAATACATTCAATATTTTCTTGGATTTAAATTAACTATATATAGTATAGACTACTAGTACAGTTTTTGAATAGAAAAAATTAATTTTTAAGGAATTAAACAGACAACCACGATACCTAATTTTGCCAAATAAAAACCTTGTTAAACAACTTGTAACCGTCATTTTGACAGTTACCCATTGATTTTATTTTATTAGTTTTTGTACATCTATAATAGTATAGATGTGAACTGTTAAGTGGTTTATTTTTAGTTTGACTAATTGTTAATTATATTTTTAATAATGATATTTGTTTAGTTGCCTCTTTCTAAAAGAATTTAATTATTTTTATTATTTTGTTTATTACCTGGTTTTGATAGTATGCAACCCAGAACACTCCCATTTGTTTTTAGTCTTCTCGACAACATTCACAACATCTTGGCAACATTGTATTTTTTTGTTTAAATAATCTTCTACGCACTTAGCAGGTTTTATGTTGGCCTTTTCCGTTTTAACACTGAAGCTGTTTAGTTGGGAGTAAGCGTTGGCTTAAAATTTGGATAGAATTCCAAAGATGTGTAGTAATTCTCCTGGTTTAATGGCTCAGGGTCGGTTAAAGCATTAATTTTATACGAAATCTCTAGGTGAGTTGATAACTTTTAAAATAGTGGTCAAATATTCCTAACCACGCAGTCTCCATTTTAGGTGTTCATGATTTTCCAACGTACTTTTTGTTGACCTAGACCTTGAATGGTCTTTAATTTGAAAACTCCTTAAAATAAGGGTAAGCTAATGTCAACGGATTTTGTAGGGTGCTAAAGCGGGTTCGTATTTCTTTTTAGGGTTTTTAAGATGGAGTATAGTTTCTGTGGAGCTAATCAGTTTTTTTATGTTGGAGTTTTTTGTAAGATTTTTTATATCAGATTTGTTGTGGAGGAAAGGTTTTTTACCCTGAACTTGTTTTGGATAATGACAAGTTCTTACGTTACTGATAAGCCATCCTGTAAAATCTGACATAGTGGGAGACTTCAACATCGGAAGCTAATCTACTAGGGCCCCAACTACGATCAGGTTTTACCAAATTTGAATATTTATGTTAGAGAACATAGCGTACACTACACTCCTTATAGTTTGTGTACTTTTGAGTAGAGAATTCAACATAGTCTTCAACTTGTAAATTGTAATCATTTTAAATATATTTTTTTGTATCATCAATAATATTTTATCATTTAGATATATATATATACAGGGTGTCCTGAAATTAGTGCACCATACTTTAACAGCAAATTCTACGTGCAAAAATAAGAAAAAAGTCCCTATAAATATAGGTCGAGAAATCCCTCCTAAGGGAGCTACAGCCCCCGAAAAGGGAGCCCCTGAAGATGGTTTTTACCCAATATATATAAAAAAGTAAAAACACCCTGTCACTTACTACATGAAACTGTCACCTGTCTTAAATTATTCTATTTTTTCCTAAACATGGCAGCCGTATTCCAAGGACCACGCGAGTCCATTTCTATGGTTGTGATTTAATTGTGAATTTTTATGCCATGTAAAATAATTTTCAAATCGATTTTATGCGAAAACGGTGTATGTTATCGAAGTTCAACAAGATGACCTTTTTTATGTGCAAAACTCTAAAATTTTATAATCTGACACCAAATTCTGGTACAAGATACGTACAAAAAAGTTAAGGTGGTTTTAACGTTAAAACCACCCTACTTCCTATCAATCTGACCCAAACCACATAAAAAATTTTAAATTGTTATTGTTACGTCTTATTGGTCATAAAAAGTTTAATTAATTCCCCAAATTTCATTTTTATATTTTTAACGGTTTTGGAGATATTAAATAAAAACCATCTTTAGGGGCTTTCCTTTTGGGGGCTGTAGCTCCCTTAAGAGGCATTTCTTGACCTATGTTTATAGGGACTTTTTTTCTTATTTTTGCACGTACAATCTGCTGTTAAAGTATGGTGCACTAATTTCAGGACACCCTGTATATATATATATATATATATATATATATATATATATATATATATATATATATATATATATATATATATATATATATATATGTATATATATATCTATTAGACTTTGGTTTTTGTAAACCATATATGGCCATATAAGGGTGCACCAAAGTTATAAATCGAACAAATATTTATTATTACATGAAAAGTGTTCACTTCAACAACGGTGAAACAAATATAACTAATTTATTTTTTTTAACCTGAATTTTAATAACCGCCCTTAATCTTTAGTAGGATTGTGTCTGACTTACTTGGATTTTAAGAACTGGCCATAATAAGACACTGGCGCCTAATTTTAATTTGCCTTTATTTAAATTTAGTAAATATATTTGTATACACGTAAGTATTGAAAAACAACATTTGCCCATCGACCTATCTCTCCGCTGAAAAGCTGCCGTTCGCCATAGCCCTCGAGTTGAGGTTACAAACTTTTGTTTAGAACTACTTAAAAAAATTTGACATTAGTAATATAATAGAACAATATTATTTTGTAAATAAAAACTTGCAACTGTCCCATCCGTTACGCGTGGAATGGAATATCTTTTTTAATTGAAACCGGACCACATTCGTGATATTCAAAGAACGTTTTATAAATTATAACGGTGTAATGTGAATAACAAACTAGGTTTTAAATTCGCAGTTCGCAGGGCTCATACGCATGCGCAAATTTTGCAAATATCACACCGTGAGTTCTACATGATATCACTGTGATGAAGCATGTGTATGCACCCAGGATATCACAGCGTGATAAAAAAATCACGTTGTAATATCATCATGACTTCACCAGGAAATACCGATTGTTTTCCGGGTTGTTACTCAAAAATACTATAGACAAAAAATTAGCCAAACAAAAGTATAACTAATAAAATACAAAAAAATATGCATCTAAAAACTCTTTTAACATTTTTTCTTCAATTGGAAGCTAAAACTATTTGGTTTAATTTTAAAATCTCTTTCAGGTTTTATCAATACCTTTTAAAACCTTTACACCTTTGCTACTAATCAGAGTTTGAGTAGGACTTTCTCTTGACCTTACAGGCTGGTCAATGAAGAGTTCCAACGATGGTTATCCCTCCACCACTAACTTTCACAGTGCTTCCTTTATTAGGGCTAGTAATTTATCCTCAATGTCATTAAGTTATTTTACTGGCTCGCCAAATTGCCAGTCTCCATGTGAGAAATGCGTAGTTTTCTTGCCATTTTTAATACATGGGACTTTAAGTCACTAAAAGTATTTGTAAAAATAAGTAACAAATAATTATTTTAAGATATTTTATTATTACCCTTTTCCACCCTATTAAAAATTCCATATAGAAACACAAAATAAAAATCTATATGGTTCTATCTAGTTCAATATAGGAATTTGAAACAGGCATTGCACTATTGAACCCGATAGAATTTTATACATGGAAAACCATATAGAAAAGTGATTTCTATATGGATTGCCATATAGGTTCAGATTGAACCATATTGGAGCTCTATCTGGCCCAATATGGTTTGGGTATAAAAAAATTATTACCATAAAGATCCATATTTAACCATAGGGGATCTATATGGTTTAATATGCAATTTTCGTTTAAATATATATACATTTTAAAATGGAATTCCATATTCAACCATATAGGCAAACCTATATGAAAGACACATAAAACAGAAACCAGATAAATCCATATAAAAATCCCCAAGTTGTACATTTTAAATTGAAATTCCATATTAAATAATATAGATTCCAAAGTGTAAACCAGGTCGTTCCATATAGGACATATAGAACCATAAAAATCCATATTAGTTTCCTTATCTGGATCAGTATGGGTTCTATAGGGCATTTTAATAGGGTATTTAAGGATGGACTTAATGGCCCTGCCAGAAGATCTGTGCTTTGGCTAGTTCAGCATAAAACGTTTTTCCCAAGTATTTTTAGAATTTGTGGATTTTTTTAAGTTGTTTTTAAGTTCATTTAATATATTAAATATCACCAATGATTTTTAAAATAATTATCTAACACAATTTTAGTTTACGATCTGCGACTTTTAGGTTATGAACATAGAAAAATAATATAAAACTAAGAAACTCTCTGTCCTAGAAACATTTATCACTGTTAAGAAAGATTCAAGGTCAAGACTTTCAACATATGAGAAACGGAATAGCCTTAAACATAGATGATATCATATGTTTGGGTTATCGTTGGGTGAACATACATGTTAAAAAATCTATGTTTATGAACAGCAAGAAAGGGAATAGGCCTCTTAAAATGGCGTTTATTAAACTTGATACATAATATACTGTTTATTAGAATCCCAACAAATGGATTCTGCACTTGACCTCTGCCGAGAACCGTCACGCTTTGCCGATGTTCACTTCCCTCATAAACACCCTGTGCGCCTACGATCCGGTGGGTCTTGGCGTTCCTTATAACCACCTGCTTTTCAACGATTCGTTGGAACCGCTGGTGGAGGCGGCCCTGCAAATTTTAATCGTCACTCTAGATCACGACACCAGCTCTTCTACCCCGCACGAAGGGGACGACGTAAGTACCGCTGCAAGTGGCGCCCCCAAACCTCAAAGTTTCGCACTTTTTTTAGACCACCGTCCCTGACAATCTCTTCATCAACTATCTATCGAGAATTCACAGGGACGAGGATTTTCAATTTATTTTGAGCGGCGTGACAAGGTTACTGAACAATCCTCTGGTGCAAACCTACTTGCCAAACTCGACGAAAAAAGTTTATTTTCATCAGGAGCTCCTCGTGTTTTTCTGGAAAATGTGCGACTATAACAAGGTAAAAAAAATCTACAAGGTTTTCATGAAATGCCTGAAAAATAATTGTAATAACAGTAATTATCATTAGCAGCAACATATTGACGTTTTCACTAACTAAATAAAACAAAACAATGAAAATATCAAAGCAATCTTAATCCAAATTGCAAAACTCAAAAACATAAATTCGTTTTTTAAAACTTTGAAATATATATCTGGAACTTAAAGTACATTTTATGGATGAATAAAATGTATAAAAAAAATTAAATATCAGAGCAATCGCACAGAACAGCAATCGGAATACAATGCCGAAAGAATAGGCTTTGTTTATAAATACTTCCGCATAGCCACTTATTTCGTACCAAGATATTTGAAAAACTCGTGATTATTGCTGACCCTTTCTCTTATCTTTAAATATTAATGAAATTTTTGGCGCTGGACGACTGCTCAATATCTGTCTTTTTCAGTTTTTGTTTCTTCATAAAAAAGGCGTTTCAATTATTGTGAAAATAATGTCATGAACAGGATTCATTAAAAAAAACAGTAAAGAAAACTTGAAAACCTTACCTTAATTGAAACTCAATACGACTTGTTGCTTAATAAAAACTGCCAATTATACCTGTAGCATGTACCCCCATGCACCACAATAATAAAATAATAAATTTTACTAATCAAGACAAAAACCATCAGACAACAGTTTTAAATAATTTAATCTGAATCAAAACAAAGACACAAACTGCCATCCACCACATCTTCAGTGATGTGATATAAAACCACCAATTAGAGCAAGCCCAAGCTCCAATTCTCTCGCCTCAAGCAGCGACAAATAGACGCAAACTTGGCTGATATATTAGTAGGTAAATAGTTTACCTTTTTGCTGGTAAGTTGGAGCTTCACAGGCTATAAAGAATTCGTCTCTGTTCGGTCGACTCTCAGCGCCGAGCGTGGATTTTAATTTACCATTTGTGCTTAGATAATTGATTCATTTTTTTACTTTTTATTGTGTAAAACTGTAGTAAAAGAAAAAGTTTGTACAGGCATTTCATGAACACCTTGTATATTTATGTATATTCTATTATATACCGTGTGTTTTTAGAAATTTTTGTACTTCGTTCTAAAAAGTAGCGATGTTTTGGAAGTTTTAGTGCCTATATTGTATCATCTAAACGATTCTAGAGCTGATCAATGTAAGTAGTATATTTTTTAATTCCACTATGGAGTGCTAATACTTCTTAACTATTAATTTTACACAGCTCCATACACATTAGGGTGATTAAATAAAATCGAATATTTTTTTTACTTCCGACACTAAAAAATTGGTTCTTATGCACCTCTAGAAAGTGCTTACCAAATTTGAGCTCTTAATATTATTAGGAAGATCCTCCTCATCACAGTTTTCCTTTTTTTCTTTAATCCCTTATAAAAAAAGACCATATTTCATTATTAATCAATCGTTTAATGAAATCTTTATACATATTTTTGTAGGAAATATAATGCGCTACAAAAAAGGACTGATGTGTTTAAGCGATTACTCTAACCGTTTAAAAGATATTTAAGATCAATGTTTAAAAATTTAAAAAAAAAATATTTTTTTTAATAATTTTGTAATTCCTTGTCAAATGAGTATGACATATTTTTTAGATTATTTTTTTTGACAGTTCTCTGTATTGTTGGGACATTGTTGAGGCATTGTTGTTGAGGGAACCTACAGCGAATTACAGCGATAATTTTTTGAAAATTTTCTCTGGTAGTTGCTATATATAAAAAACAAATTAAATCTTAATTAAATGTTGTTTTATTCATTATGAAATTCTTATTTGTTAACTGTACATGGTGCAATTCTATTGGCCGACATTTGGGACGGAAAAATAATCCCCCGAATACCACACGAGCTTCAAAATTATCTGGCATTTCCCTCAAGGTTCCCTGCAAACAAATAAAGTCGTCAAGTTTTTCAGGAAAAATCACTCGCGCTTCGCGCTCGTGATTTTTTAACCTGAAAAACTTGACTCCTTCATTTGTTTGCAACGAACCTATCGGGAAAAATACCCGATAATTTTGAAGCTCTTGTGGTATTATAAGTGAAAATTCCACACCTGTAATTTTTAACCAATCAAAACGTGTATTTTTGATAGATCACCATGGCAACGGTTGAATTTTAGTGGGTACCCACAGCGAATTATACTGGAATTTTTTTTGACGTTTATAATGACAGAATATTTTTTTGACAATCTGGTTTTTATTTGTTTACATGATAATTTTGATACATTTCCATTACAAAGTTTAGATGTTTTCTATATTCGTTGGACACCTCCTTTCTTCTTAATGGCGAAAATGCAGGACTTGAAATAAATTAAATGTCTATGTCTAATGAAATATATATAATATTTAGACACTATTCTATTCACCTTTTTTTCCATTTAGCACTTTGAGTTTTGAATAGTTAAGATGCAAATATTCGTGAACAATTCAAAACAAATTTTCTTTCTTCAAGTAGGAGCCACAATCCTCTAATAATGCGGGTAAATAAGTCATTGCACGATGATTGATCATTACAGCAGACAATTTCACATTTTTTTACGTCGTGCCGCTTGACAGCTTCGAAACTGAAATAACTTTTAGGTTGGGGTTGACTTAGTTGCCATGGTAACTAAATAATCAAGTCGAGGTCAAGTTAAATCAAAAAATAAATTTTAATTATTTAAACACAATTTGGTGTGGAATTTTCTTACCGAATACCACACGAGGTCAAATTAAATCCGGAAATTTTTTCTCCCTCATGAATATTTTTAGAAAATTATCCCTCGTCTTCGACTCGGGATAATTTTCAAAATATTCATGAGCTCGAAAAAATTTCCGGAAATAATTTGACCTCTAGTGGTATTACTAGTGAAAATTTAACGCTCTACAAAAAGGTCTGATGTGTTTAATTGATTACTCTAACCGTTGAGAAGATATTCGTATCAGTACGCATTGGGATTCGGATACGAATATCTTCTCAAGGGTTAGAGTAATCAATTAACACATCATACCTTTTTTAGAGCGTTCCTACAAAAGTATGTCTACTCATTTGACAATAATTATTTTTCAATCAGTTACAAAATTATTAAAAAAAATGTTTTAATAAATTCTTTAAACTTTGATTTTGAATATCTTTTAAATGGTTAGAGTAACAAACACATCAGCTCTTTTTTGTAGAACATTCAATTTCCTACAAAAATATGTAATTTCATTAAACGATTGATTAAAAATGAAATATGGTCTTTTTTATAAGGGACTAAAGAAAAAATGGAAAATTGTGATGAGGATGATTTTCCTATTAATATTAAGAGCTCAAATTTGGTGAGCACTTTCTAGAGGAGCCAAAGAACCAATTTTTTGGTGTCGGAAGTAAAAAAAAAAATTCGTATTTTTTTAATCACCCTAATAGACATACTCTGTTATTAGCCATATCTTATTTTTAGCTCGAGTGGGTTTAATGCACATTGGAGTGTTTATTCTGCTTTTACTTTCTGGCGAGCGAAATTTGGGAGTGCGGTTAAATAAACCGTACACGGCCACAATACCGATGGATATACCGGTTTTTACCGGCACGCATGCCGATCTTTTGATAATAGTTTTTCATAAAATTATTACCACCGGACATCAAAGATTGCAGCCTCTATTTGATTGTCTTCTAACTATTCTAGTCAACGGTAATAAGTAAAATATGCGATGTGGAAAAAGTAACTAAAAAATATATTTTTTTAGTTTCCCCATATTTAAAGACGTTATCCATGGTAACGAGTACAAAGTTGCTCCATCTCTTGGAAGCGTTCAGTACTCCTTGGTTCCTGTTTTCTCAACCTTCTAACCACCATCTAGTATTTTTCTTGCTAGAAATATTCAACAACATTATTCAGTATCAGTTTGATGGTAAGTACTCAAAATTTATACAGGGTGTTTATTAGGGTGCTTCAAAAAATAAAATTTAATTTTTTTTTCGCTCTTACCCTCTCAAATGTTTCTATTTAATATAAAAAAAATCCTCGCCAAATATGGGCGTTCCAGCTCAACTCTAAGAGGTCGCTGTTTTTATTTTATATTTTCATTTAATTAACATGGGAAAAAATAATTTTATGTTTGGAATTTTATACCTCTGTATCAAAGTAACTTATGGCAATGATCATTGCAGTTTCTAAAATGTAACGCTCTACAAAAAAGCGTGTATGGTACAATTAGCAGACTGGAGGTGAAAGGGGGCAAAATGGGGTACCCAAAAAATTTCGTAAAAAAAATTTTTTAGATTGTTTTTTTACGGTTTCTAAATTATTTCAAAATATATTGACTTACAAGTTCACGCTTTTAATCGAAAATAATAATTCTGAGCCTGTAGAGGGAGAAAAAGGATAGTACAATTTTGGAAAACTTTTCATATGCTCATTTTTTGGGTACCCCATTTTGCCCCCCCCCCCGCTGCCTTGTTTTGCCCCCTTTCACCTCCCGTCTAAAAATTGTACCATAAAATTAAAAAAACAGAAAATTTGATGTTAATCAAACTTTGACCTCGAATAACTCTAGAGCGATTGCAAGCGCAATGTAATTTTTTCCATCAGTTTTAAGCAGGGCACAATGAAACAAAAATATACCAAAGTTATTCATTAATGGTGAAATTATTTGAAAAAACTAAAAAAGTTTATCTCAGTTACTTATTATTTAAAAAATATGGTCAAAAATAAGCGATTTTCCGATGTTAAAATTTATATGCAAAGTAGCATTTTTATCAAGGTGGCTTTGACCTATAACTAGGGTTGTGGAATTGACCGGTCAAATTGTTTTTGGTCAATTGACCAATTAATTAAATAAAATATCAAAATAAATATTACTGTGATTTATTTGTACTTAATAAATAGGTAATTAAAATACGTTACCAAGTTTTTTTTTATTATAAAAGTTATGTCCTTCTTTAGAAACGTTTGTGCGGCTTTAAAAAGTTATGTTTCGCTATTAAAAAAGATATGTCCCGCTTGATTGATCGGTCAAATAGGTAGCGGTCAATTAACAGTCAATTGACTGGTCAATTGACCGCGGTCAATTGACCATCCCCAACTCTACCTATAACAGTAAGTGACGCTTCCGAAAACGTCAGTTTTGATTAGACGCCACTATTAGTGAAAATATTCCTGAATATTTTTTTTGCAAGTAAGTAAGTTTTAATATCGCAAGTATGCAACTTGCCCAGTTTTTAGTTAATAATAAAAATGTTTGTCCCTATGTCACATTTGCTTATGCGATAAAAATATATTGGTTCGCTGTCCCAGAATTTTTTATTTCTTTCTTTTAAAGTTGGTCCCGTCAGTAACGAAATGTGATCGCAAAAAAATTTATGAAAATCCTGTTTTAAAAAAGACTTACCTGTCTAAAAATGCTTCAAGCGCAAAAAAGAGGAACGATTAATTGTAGCACCCGGACAATACCATGTTGCCAAATGTACAACTTATTTTAATCGTTTCTCATGCGCTTTGATTTATCAGCTGATCTACTGTCAATCAACTTGAATGGGCAAAAGTGAGCGAAACCAACCCAAACTCAACAACCCCCCGACAAAAACGGCACATGGTCTACACAATTAAAGAGGCGTAAACAATTTTCCAAGAAGAAAATCCCGAAACGAAAATTCAAATACGCAAATTTTATGAGTTAAGGCCTGCGTTCGTTTTGCCAATCAGTGACACTCCTCACAACGTTTGTCTTAGCAAATATCATTCAAACATTTTATTTATTTTGGAAGCGTTTAGCAAACGCTTTAAAGCGTTTCCGGATGATCATAAAAAGCTGATTTCTGAGATAACTTGTGACGTCGAAAGAGAAAATTGTATGAATGAATGTCCGGAGTGCAAAGAAATTGATATATTATTTTCCTGTTTACCTTTGCAATACAACCCAGAAGAGCCCATGCAAATCAAAAAGTGGTCCACTATTGATGGCAAAACAAAAACCATAATTCTGCTTGAACAGATGACACCATTTCGAAAACATCATTTTGTGAAAAACATTCTTCAAAAATACTTTGACTTCAAGAGGAAAAACATTGAAATAGGTGACGTCATTTTGCAGATCGATTTTGCCGAAAATTTCCAACTAATTGCACAAGATGAGATACAGAGTGCTCATTGGCAACATGAGCAAGTGACAATTTTTACTGCGGTGGCGTGCTAGCCGAAAAAGTATATTTTTTTTCTATCATCAGCAATTATCTGGTTCACGACAAATATGCTGTTTATGTGTTCCTGAAGAAAATAATATCTTGGATTGATCTTTCTGGTTATAAAGTAAAAGACCTTAGCGTATTTAGCGATGGGTGTGCCGCCCAATTTAAAAACAGGTTCACCTTATTGACTTTATGTTTTTTACCAGAAGAATTAAGTATGGAGTGGAGTTTCTTTGCAACTTCCCATGGGAAAGGAGCTGTTGACGGCGTTGGCGCAACTGTGAAAAGAAAGGTATGTAGGTAAACGAAAAACAAATAAATATATTTACTGTCCAAAATAACTGACGGTTTTCTGGTTTTCTTAATAGCTGCTTTTCCTAATTTTTGCTAACAATTAGGGTATAAATTTTGCCGCACAAGTGTAATAAGTTTTAAGATACCAAAAATGAAAAACTATTTTAGGTGTGGAATGAGATCTAGAGCAGAAGAGTGACTGTCAACACTGCAACCGATTTTTTCAACTGTGCAAAAGTTTTGAAAACATTACTTACTAATATACAGAGCTGGGCACGAGTACTAAAAAAAGTATTAGTAAAATTTTAAGTACGAGTACTTAAATATTAACTCGTAAGTACTTTACTCGTAAGTACATTTGTAAAGAGAGGTTACGGTTACGAGTAGTAATCGTGAAAACTCGAGTAAAGAGTACGAGTACTTTTGAAAAAAAAGTTTGTTAATATAATTGATTATTCTTTATACATTATACATACTTTGGTCCTGAGCTATAAAAATACAAAAACAAATTTATAATAGTATATTGTGTATCAAGTTTGATAAACGCCATTTTAGACACGAATTTAATTTAGGCACGAGCGAGCTTCCAAACAAAATATTTTGATGCTTACGATATTTTGGCAAAAATTCATATATATATATATATATATATATATAGGAAAGTACATTGAATTTGGTTTGTAAGTACGAGTAATAAGTAGGTATTTCAAAAGAAAAATACTTATGAGTAAAAAAGTACTCAGTACTTGGCCAGCTCTGCTAATATATACGTAAAGAAAGAGGAAATTGAACAAATCAAGACACAATTAGATGCCAAATGGTCAGGTGTTTCAGCAATACCCGAGATATTAAGTTCACACTATTTTAAGTTTGTTGATGGTACTCATATGTTGATTAAGAAGCACTATGAATCCGAAAAATCAAATTTGTTCAAATGCTTTTAAATTTTTTGCAGATGTTATTATCATGTTAAAATTATTGTTGAAGTTATTTAGTTAAATTAACCCATTACACATTTGTTTCAGAGTACCCAGAAATTTTTTTGTAATCAGTAACAACATTTTATTGATTTCTAGTTCGTAAAATAAAAAACATTTTAATAGCTCTGATACCGAAAATTTTATACAAACTCTAACTTTAATAGTTACCCAAATATTACCGTCATTAGCTCATTACTGATAGCAACAAATATCAAAAAATAGTTAATTTTTTTTCCGATTGTCCCATCAGTAACGCGTGCAATCGCCCTCTAGAAGAAATCAATTTATCGAAAAACAATAAGAGCTTTTTTGTAGAGCGTTACATTTTATATAAGAAACTGCAATGATCATTGCCATAAGTTACTTTGATACAGAGGTATAAAATTCCAAACATAACATTATTTTTTCCCATGTTAATTAAATGGGAAACTAAAATAAAAACAGCGACCTCTTAGAGTTGAGCTGGAACGCCCATATTTGGTGAGGATTTTTTTATATTAAATAGAAACATTTGAGAGGGTAAGAGCGAAAAAAAAAATTAAATTTTATTTTTTGAAGCACCCTAGTGTTTATACTGTTGTATACGCTAAAGAGGTATCGCTAGTAGCGCCACCTTTTAATCGGCTGTCAAACGCGTATGTTACAAACGAGTGTTTTTGAGAAAAAGGCCGAAAAATATTATTTTTTGTTAGATTTCTTAAAAATGTCCAACAAATACAGGGTGTCACCTAATAAATTGTCATCCTTTGGGGGGATGATATTACACGCCAAAACAAGAAAGTTTTTTTCTACCATTTTTGCATTAGAGCTACTGTTTCTTAATAAAAATATTATGAAACTGGAGCCATAAACGCCATATTTGTACAAAATACAAGGCCTACTATGTTTTACGAGTACAGTTTTAAGAATTCATATTAGGCGATTTTTTTAAACAAAATCTAAGCACGGCACTGGATTCACCACCCCTCAAAACGACCCTATACTAAATTTTAGTAGTAGTAGAAAAATGCACAATAATAACAACAAAAATTTATTTTGTCAAGTTATCCATGAAAAAAACATTGAAATAAAATTAAACTAATAGTAACATATTACTTATATGAAATCTTAAAAATGTACTCTTAAAAACTGACATAATACAGTTTATCAAGATCTACACTTTAAAACAAATCCGGTTAAAATCGCACAATAAATAAAGATTTTACAGGGGTGAGTCGCAAACAAATGGGCCACACTGTATACCATCATTGTTTTTGACCTGTAAAAACAATGATATTATTCGTGCAAGTCAAAAAGAAACAGGTATGCGCACAGTGTATTATGTAATATCAAACAAACTTTTAAACTTATTTAAAATCGGTTAGTAGGTACTTTCTTATCATTTATTACTGACCGTTCGGTTTTTTTGTGGTTTCTCTGGGGCTACATGAACAGTTTAGTGTACCAGAGCGAATTTGACACATTAGAACAACTCCGCGAACTTGTCATTGCAGCGGCAGATGAAATCCGAAATCATCCGGATATGATAGCAAGAGCGACACATCATAATTTTCTGTCAACTTTGTGTGGATAATAACGGCGCGATAGTTGAACATCTATTATGATTTTGTGGAACACTTAAAAAAATAGCTAAAAGAGCATCAATCGACGTAAAAAGAGAAAGATGAAATTTAAAATCGACGGGAAAACCACGGTAACCTCGATATACCTAACAATAAAAAGTAAGTATTTTATATTCCAAGTACCTTAAAATAGCTGAGTATGCGAAACAAAAAAACTTTCTTATTTTGGCGTGTACTATCATCCCCTTAAAGGATGACAACTTATTTGGTGACACCCTGTATAAGCGTCGATTTTTTTAATCAATGATATAAGGAATAACACGTGCGCGATTTAGCTGTACAATTGAAACTGTGAACAAAATTTGTCGAGTAAGACTCACTTTTGTGAAAAAACTACTTATTTATCACGATACACAAAAACCGGTATGCTGAGACAGTATACTGTGATGATGATGCGCATGATATAGCTATCTCTCTCGCTCCGGGTGACGTCGTGTGCGAACCAAAGGCTGGCGGGTAACTGGGTTGGATTGTTATTTGCACTGCAAGTTCACCTTATAATCGAAAATTTATAAATTATTAAGTGTAACAAATGTTAAGAGAAAGTTCAATTGGCAGCAAGCGCTTTTAATACTAATGTAACATATATATTTTAAGCAACAATTAAAATCCTACCTTCCTATTATTATTTTTCAAAATATTTTTTATTTAATTGAATTACGCTAGACCGAATTTGACATTTTTTTTAATGTGAAAGGTAACAAAATTATAAAAATGTATTTATACAGGTAATCATAACGCACGCTTCAAAGTGTCAAAAGTAAAAAAAAATCTCAAAACTGCTTTTTTACTTGTGACATTTTTGAATCGGGTTTCTGATACAATTGTGTTTTAATTTTTATTATTTATATTTGGGTGAAAAGTTACTATAAGTACCTAACAGAAAATTGGGTATACAAAAAAATTGCCTTTACTTACCGTGTTTTATTTTAATTTTATCCTTTCTCTTGCATGCATTCATCCACTTGCTGCCAGATCTTTATTTTTTGGAAATCGAAAATATTTATTGTTAGGTTAGGTTGGGTGTTGGAGTTTCTGTTCATATTTCTGATGTCTGGTACAGCAAAGCCTAGCAAATTTTAAATAGTTATTAAGTCCAACAAACATAACACAAACTTAATAAATAACCTGGTATAAAACATAGCATATGCCTATGCAAAACTGTCTGGTTCGCACGTGACGTCATATGCGCGGAGTCAACGAGTTTTAGTTTCATAACCAGCATACCGGTTTTTGTGTATCGTGCTTATTTAAAAAAAAATGTATTGTTGACAAACCTTGTAGTTCAATAATGCTATCATCGAGCGCCACCAGATGACGCGCGCGTTGCGAAAACCTGATGCTTCATTAGCGCAGGGTGTTTTTATTAGAGGTAGCGATAGTGGTAAAAAGTAGACTATTGATAGCATCGATAGTGAGAAAAGCGACTATCGATACTATCGATTAACTATCGATAGTTTACTAAAATTTCAAAACCTTATGGTTTAACATATTATTAAAAAACTAAGGGGTGCATTTTTATAGTAGGCACATTTTCAACCTACCAAATACAGGAGAGTCAAAAATATAGTATAGCACAAGGAGTCCAAACTTAATGTAAACAAGAATCTTCCTAAGATAAGAGGGCGCTGGTGTTCCGTTTATTCTGAAACAATTGACTTATTTGTACCGAAACGCTACCAAAAGAGCAGACGTCAGTACGTATCGACAATCAGCGCCGCTGGTGGTGAAAAGACTTAATTTGTGGAATTTAGAGGGTTTTGTCAATTTCCCCTATTAAGTTCGGGCTCCATGGTATAGTATTTCAATATAAATATCTACCTTAGTTATTAAAACCTTTATATCAAAATCTATAATAACTATCGAGTTTTAATACATCAACAATAAAATAATTGACAGCACATATTTACCGTTGGTAAATCTAGGGTCCCTAGATTTTGCCAACTAAAACCCCAAATTTTTAATGACGTCAAATTTCGAATAAAAAAACAACGACAGTTATAATAATTTTGTTTGATTCTACTATCGCTAGACGATAGTTTGTAACTATCGATAGAATCGATAATTCGATAGTTTTTAAAATATCGAAACTATCGATAGACTATCGATAATATCGCTACCTCTAGTTTTTATGTAGTAGTTCTTACACTATACAAGGTGTTTTGGTTTAAAAGAGAATTGTTCTCCCTAAGGAAACTCGAACCTTGTGTACACCATCATCCGTAAACGGCAAGTGTTCCACTCGCTGGCAAACCTGCCTAGCGATTGCGGCACAATATCGAAATCGATGACCCGCCGCAGCACGCGTAGCCGCCTCTCGGCCGCCCCCAGCACCGAAAACGTATCGGAACCCCCCATGGAGGGTTCCCGTCCTGCGTTGCCAGCGGAACCGGGCACGCTGAAGGCGACGTTGCCAGACACGCCCGCCATCGGGCAGATGACCGAGCGGGAGTCTGCGCACCTGGGCTTTCAAGCGCTGACCAATGGCGTGGCCGCTATCGCCATAAGTGCGCCGCCACCCATGGATAAAGGTGGCGACAGCGCAGATGAGACTGTAAGTCTTTTTTATAAACAATTAAGTCGACTTCAGGCGCCGTTTTATATTTATTCTGCGAATTAAAAATATTTTTTTGCCAAACTGATATTTTTAATTTAGTAAATTTAAAATATCTGTTTCTTATATTTGTATTTTTTAGTTAAACACATATTTTTAATTCGCTTAATTAAAAATATCATAGGAGAAACTTTTAAATGCATTAAAAATATAATATCAGATATTTTTAATTCATTTTTATTTTTTAAAATGAGCAGATATTTTTAATTAAATGTGATACCTATGTATTTTTAATTCAGATTGAGAGTTTGGACAGCCCTGGTATTCCAAACTAATTCTGTCGCTAGATGGCGGCATAATCACTGTCATCTGCGATGTACGTGAGTCCAATGTCGCACTGACCCAGCGTGTTCTGAACAAGGAGCACGTTAGTTTGTTGTTGGTTTTTGTGGCGTTTGGAATAACAGTGGTGTCCAAACTATCAATCAGTCGGAATTATAAATATTAGATTCAATTAAAAATATCTGCTTATTTAATAAAATAAAAATTAAATCGAATTAAAAATATCTGCTATGATATTATTAATTCGCAGGATAAAAATTCTTAGGTGATATTTTTATCTAATTGAAAATATCACTCTAGGGTATATACACAAAATTAATTCCTGAATAAAAAATAAAGCGGCGTCCCATAATCGATCAAAACCGGATTTTTTTTCATTTAGACTTTTTATATTAATATTTGTTAGGGTCCAAGTTTGGACGTACAAAAAAAGTACGAACCCCCAAGAAGTCCAACCGCTTCCGAGGCTTCTTCATTTACTAGATCCGTAAATACTGTGAGGATTCAAAAATTATTTTTCACTGCATTTTTACATATTTTTTTTTTAATTTAGCGTAATAGTTTGAGAGTTAGCGCCTCCAACGAAAACACAAGCGGTCAGTGGGTTCCCACAGGAGAATGGGTCCACTCCTGGAAAACCAAACTACCCCTACAAACTATAATGAGACTTTTACAAGTTTTGGTACCTCAGGTCGAAAAAATATGCATTGACAAGTACGTTAATTTACAGTAATCGTCTACAATGTACTGGTTTACAATATTTGTTTTTTTTTGCAAAAGGGGTTTGACTGATGAAAGCGAAATACTAAAATTCCTGCAACATGGTACTTTGGTGGGTCTTCTCCCAGTACCCCACCCCATATTAATCAGGAAATATCAGGCTAACGCTGGCACCACCACATGGTTCAGGACTTACATGTGGGGAGTCATATATCTAAGGTAAAAACATTTTTTACACTTCTTGGTCTAAAAAAGTTATACTAATATTGGGACCGATTTTATTTCGTCTTTTTAGGAACGTTGACCCCCCAATATGGTACGACACTGACGTGAAACTTTTCGAAATCCAACGCGTTTAAAAAGACTTCTTAAATCAATTAATTCTAGATTTAATTTTATTTATTGTTGTTGTGTATCTTTACACAGTATTGTAGGTAATTTTTTTGCTGTAAACTTATTTATTTTGTTAAGTTTCAAGTGTAAAATAAACGTAACAACACGGGGTGTAACCAAATAAGTTGTCATCCTTTAAGGGGTTGATAGTACACGCCAAAATAAGAAAGTTTTTCCTCTTATCATTTTTGCATTAGTGCCATTTTTTTTTCAAAAAAAATCATTAAAATTTTTATAAGTAAAGTAGAAATTTTGGCCCGTCACGGGTTGTACCTTACCTAAGACAACTGACGCAAAATATGCTTGCACAGCGGGCTATAATCTACATTCATTAAAAATTTACATTTGTGTTATTATTTATTTTTGTTAGGTATCTAGAGGTTTCCGTGGTTTTCCCGTCAATTTTAAATGTCAACTTTCACTTTTTGCGTCGATTAATGCTCATGTAGCAATTTTTTGAGTGTTCCACCAAATCATAACAAATATTCAACTATCCCGCCGTTATTATCCGCACAAAGTTGACAGCGGCGTAGAAAATTATGATGTGTCGCTCTTGCTATCATATCCGGATGATTTCGGAGAGTTGTTCTAATGTATCAACTTCGCTCTGGCACACTAAACTGTTCATGTAGCCCCAGAGAAACCACAATACAAACCGAACTGTCAGTAATCAGTACTAACTGATTTTGAATAAGTTTAAAAGTTTGCTTGATATTACATAATACACTGTGCGCATACTTGTTTATTTTTTGCTTGGATGAATAATATCTTTGTTTTTAGAGGTAAAAACAATGATAAACATATAGGATATATCCTATAGGTCAGTGACATCCAGTGGCTCCCTGGTTTTGTCAAAAAAATTCATAATATTTGTATTAAAAAACGGCTCTGATGCAAAAATTATAGAGGAAACACTTTTTAATTTTGGCGTGTACTATCATTCCCCCAAGGGATGACAATTTATTAGGTGACACCCTGTATGTTGTTTTGATAATTTAGCAGAATTTATAAATGTACATGTCACATACATAACATACCATTAATATAATAGTGCAATTATTTTTATTAATATACAGGGTGTATACTTAATTATAGAATTATTAGAATCTCTTAATTATGCAAAATTACTTTAAAATTGTTTGTGACATATACATACATACATAATGAACTTATAAGTAAATGTATAAAGTAAAGTGTCTTATATAAAAACTTATTTTTTGCATTTAATATTAAAGACTGTTCTTGGCCATTTTTTAATTTAGGCAATATAGAAACGCACTTTTTTGTTTTTTATACACCAAGTTATATAAATTAAAAAATAATTAACATTCCATTCTATAAATTCTTAATAAGTATGATTTTTGTTGTTTTAACTTTATAGTAAATTATAAAACAGTTTTTGGCCTTATGCACAAAGGACAGTTAAAATTTGTTGGGTCGGCCATTAAATTTCAACTATCATTTGTGCATAAGGCCGTTATTAATCGCATATCAAAAAAATTGTGCTAATTATGTGTCTAATGTATATCTATAGATATATGACCAAATTATGTATTTGATCAAAATTATATTGAAATATAACCAATAAACTGTATTGTGTTTTCCTACCTTTTTTATTTTTAAAAAGTCATTGTGATTTTATATAGAAGATGGGATTTTTTACTTTGCATTTATTATAATATAATAAATAAATACTTTATTGCCCAACAGTTATAAACCAGTTACAGGACAAATATATAAATATAATATGACATGAAAATTTGATAAATACAATTTGAATGAATAATAATGTATAAAGTGAATAAAAAATAAATAAATATGCATATCCTACATATAAACAATTGCAAAAAAATTAATAATAAAAATATTCTTATGATAAAGAGCATTAAGGTTAATAACAAACTTATTAACTAGTCATCTTTGAACATTTGATTTAGCTAAAATGTTATTAAGAATAAATAATGGGAAATAAAAAAATAATGAGCAATAATATCCTCCACTCTCTTCCCTACTCTAAGGTTTTGCCGTTGGAAAATCAAACCATGGAGCCTACACAAGGAGTCCGAACTGCAAGTAAACAAGAATCTTCCTAAACTAAACTGCTTGTTAGATGCACGAAAGTAATAACAGCATGGTAGAGAGAATGATATCCCTTATCCTGAACCTTCGTACATATACCATATAGTCACGGCCAAATCTATATGGGTGCACGTCATCAATGAGATATAATGACGTCAGCATTACCAACTTTGAATTGTAAAGTTACTGCCGTTAAAATTGTTTTTTTAAGGCCTAATTCTGATGTGTTATTAAAAAGAAATCATTCATTTGCGTATTGTTTACAAAGAACTGTAACAATTTCCTTGTTTTAAAACGTTTTTTCACGAAATTATCAAAATAAAACCATTCACTTAGTAATTTTTGTGTGTGCCAGTTGGTAATAGCTTAAGGCTGGCGCGCACCGTTCAATATTATTGATGGGTCGCTGTCATTTTATATTTGACGTATTTTTGTAATTGTGACATTTCGTCCGGAAGCATCGTTTGTTGCAAATTATTATAAATAATATTATACATTATGTTTATAAGATTCTATCCCTGGATTGTGCAAACAATGATATAAGGCTTGTTGGCAACTAGTCGTTATTAGATTTCGAAGACATTGCGCCCTTAATAATAAATTTGGGGAAATAATCAGACTTCAATTCTGACCTGGTTTGCTCTGATGACAAGGACGACTGGTAATTTATTATTTTTGTGTTTCTGATAATTTAGTATTTTTTTTGTTATGTGCATATGTAATAAAAATGTAATAAACTTCGTTTGTTTTCTCTTTAAACACATTTAATAAAAATTTGCCTGTAACAAACTCCTAATTAGTTAGTGCAGAAGATTATAAGAAGGACGTTATAATTCCATCTTAATAACAGCCCCCACCGCTATAAACAGTCAACAATACACGAGCGTTAGATTGTGTCTGGGCACGTATGAATAGACCTTAACGCTGACGTCATATGCCGTTGATGACGTGCACCCATACAGATTTGGCCGCGACTATATAACCCAACACCTAAATTCCCCCTCTAAAAATAATCCTGAAAGGCATGGAACAGTCCAGATGTGTCAACAGGCACACCTTTCATTGGGCTTGGGCGGCCGTCCTACGACGCGAGTTCATCGTAATAAGGAAGAAGAAGAAGAATCTTCCTAAGGAAAGTAGGCGCTGGTGTCCCGTTTATTCTGAAACTAATTTGCATGGAGCCTATACAAGGAGCCCGAACTTCATGTAAACAAGAATCTTCCTAAGATAAGAGGGCGCTGGTGTACTACCGGCCCAAAACAGTAGAGGGGTATAACCAGAGATGGCGCCACTACCTACCACTTATTATTGTGGAAATAATTGAGGTTATGCAACTGTCAGTTTATCGCTTTCTGAAAACAATGTACCCATGTACTTACCTGTTTTTGTGTATAAAGGTCTTAATTTACAATAAATTTATATCAAATTTAACATTGGAATTCATGTTGGACTTTCTGATGTAGAGTATAGTACAGTTTTTTATAAATACGCGTTTTTTTTCTATAAAAGAATGTCGTGTGATGCTAAATCGTGTAAAACTAACAGAATATTAAATCCATATGGTATTTATTTTTAGTTTTATAGGTAGATGGCTTAAATAAAAGTTCAATATAAACAAATATATATATTTGTATATTTATAAAGGTGGAAATTATTAAATATGCTGTTTACTCATTTTATACATACTTTTTATTTAAATTAAATTTAAATTATTAAATAGCGGTGTATTTCTAACCTGGAAATCTAATTTTGCTCCTCCAGAGTCGTAAAATCACTCCACAGATTATAAAGAATCACTTATATTTCACAACCAAAACCTATTTATTTGCTTCTCCAGAGTCGTAAAATCACTTCACAGATTATAAAGAATCACTTATATTTCACAACCAAAACCTATTCACAGATCATAAAACTTATTATAAAACCTATTTATTAGCATCTACCTACCAGGTACAGCCATAAATAACAAAACGATTCGTACGTCAAAACATTATTGCAAATCAATTGCATAGATCATACATCAATTTATCTATGATCAATTGTCAAAACTTACTTGCTTACTTCACATGTATTTTTGATACTATTTTCACGTCATACGGACGCATTGACAAACAGCGCCGCTGGTGGTGAAAAAAAAAGACTTAATTTGTGCAATTTAGTGGACAGGTTTTGTCAATTTTCCCTATTAAGTTCGGGCTCCTTGTGTAGGCTCCATGCTAATTTGTACCGAAACGCTACCAAAAGAGCAGACGTCAGGACGCATCAACAATCAGCGTCGCTGGTGGTGAGAAAAAAAGACTTAATTTGTGCAATTTTCCCTATTAGTTCGGGCTCCTTGTGTAGGCTCCATGAATCAAACCTTCACTCGGCAACTTAAATATCTAGTGATATTTCTAGGGATATTTTAGGGAATTTTCTGTCAAAAATTCGAATGCAAATACTTCTAATTTATTTGGCTATTGGATTCATAATAATATTTATATTTGTGTAACAAGCTCAATTAATCATTAACAAAATACAAACTTGGACTGTTAATTAGCGTTTGACGCTGCAAACTAGTTTCTTATTTTTCGGTCTGAAAATCCTGTCAGGTAAGTAAATACGTTATTAAGGGTTTATAAATGTTTTCCATTGTTTTTTACAGCTTGCCAAAGAATTCCCGAGTTAACACAACTATGCTCTGATTATTATATATGAGTAGTAGTTACCATACACGATGGAGCAAATAGTAGTTAAAAAAGAACCTGAAGAACTTGTTGACAATATCAAAGGTGATATTTCAATGAATTATGATAAACCAAGTACCTCCGCCGACCCTTCAACCTCTGGGATAGCAATAAAACAAGAAATCAAAGAAGAATTAGATGATAGCAACAACTACATGATCTATGATGAATTGGGGGTGAAAGAAGATTCAGAAACGTACACAGATGAGGATTATGATTTTGATGGAGCCAAGCAAGTCAAAGAAGAAATGTTTCTTGACCAAGGGTAAGCATTTTTCTACAATGATTGTTGCCATTTTTTGCATTATCACCATGGCAACAGTTGTTTGACAGTTGACATGTTGAAAGATGCAACAAGTGACAGTTTTAACCATGGACTAATTATTAGAGATGTAAAAGTAACGAAAAAACTAATACCCGCATGTATTCGTTACTTTGAATGTGACTATTCGTTATAAAGTATTCGTTACTCGTTACTTTCATTACTATAATACTTCAATTATTATTATACATGCCGCTGCCTAAAGAAAACATAAATTTTAATTACATTTACTTAGCATTTTACCAAATGATATTACAAAAATTGTCACATTTACACCCTGTAGAACAATTACAATACAATAGGTACTATGCTCCACTATAAAGATTTATTATTTTTTAACACATAAGCGGTAAACGTATAAATATGATTTATTTCATTGACTGTACTTTGACATATACATAAGATAACATAAGATTTAAATTTATACTTTACAGTAACATAAAGAACAAAACATAAATACGCCTACCTTGTGAGGAAAAGTAAAGAAACTAAAAACCCATATAAAAACCTTTCTTTTTGCAAAGGACTCTTTAAAATAAACAATACCTAAATCAACGCGCGGCATAGATCACCTAGTCTATGGATCAGCTGATATTTTTGTGTATGATATGATTTGTGTATGATACACAGTGTATCATGCACAGTGTACGCACAGTGCTGTGAGCGTACGCCTGGCCTGGTGCATGGCCGTACGTATCGTATCGAATCGAACGAACGCTGCAAAGTACGTAGATACCGGACGAAATTGTGAGTGGCGCAAGTAACGAAACGATGCGAGTAACGAGACGTATTTTAAAGTAACGGATCGGTATTTCGAACCTCATCCAGTACCCGTTACTTTGTACCGAATACATACGGTTCGTCACATCTCTACTAATTATTAAGAGGGAATTGACAGAACCTGCCTACTAAGGTTGTGTTCCGTAATTTACTGCCATTACTATCAGTAATTTTACTGTCAGTAGCGAAAAAAGACCGTTCCGTAATTTATTCAGTACTGACGCAATAGTAAAATTGGAACGCGCCTCACTCGGCGCCTCAGTAGCAGCAGAAAGTGACAATGGTTACGCAAGGTTATGATTTGTGATTTACTGACATTTGACAAACTTTACTTTCGGCACAGCAAAGAACATGAATAAAAAATAAATATAACAGTTATAAGAAATATATTTTTTGGTTTATGGCAGAGAAATATGGAAAATAAAATGTTATCGTCGTCCGCGTCGAAAAATGTATATATATATAGGAATAGGAAATATAAAATTTCAATTTCAATACGCCAAATACCAAAAATTACTCTTAAATTCGTACGCTGAATACAAAAATATATAACATTTTCTAGGTACTACCTAGTAGATAGTTTAATATTCTGGGTCTTCGTATGCGTACTCCCTGGCAACCTGCCTGCCAATATTTTATCAATAAATATTGAAATAATTGGTCCTAGGTTTTCACCAAATACCATTATATCCTTCACTTTATTTGACAGCATTTTTTATGTATAAAAGTTTGGTTATGTGTTTTACTGGAGCCACAGCACCTCTCTGTCACCAGTTGTTTCATTAAAATTAATCTGCCGTACAAGGTAGTATTTACCATTGAGCTCAGTAACTGAAAGTGGATTTCGGAATGCGTTTTCAGTACTGACAGTAAATTACGGAACACAACCTAAATTGCATAAGTAGGAATGTGTTTTTTCCACTGACGGCCATTGTTTTGGTACAAACCAAATAACAAAAAGAACACCAGTGCCCAATTAGGACAACATGGGGGATGTGCAGTGTATGTGCATAAAAGTGTCAGTTTTCAACCAAGACACACTATTACCAAACTTTCGGTGGCTAATGAATTTGAGTATTCAGCTGTGGAATGTAATTTTGAAAAATCTAAACTTGTAATCATATGTGTATATTAGGGTGTCCCTTATTTTTATTTTTTTTACGCATACCCTCTAATTATATTTATTACGTGTTTATATACTCCCAGTAAAAATTTCAGCTCATTCTATAAACGGGAACCCGTGCCGACTTGCATCTGAACCCTCCGTTAGCAAACGTTAGGCGCGCGATATTTTGTAACACGAAACACTTTAAAAAGAAGATATACTTCATGACTGTATTTTTCTAATGATTTTATTAAATATGATTACTAATTAATATTATTGCTTTTGTTTCTATCATTTGTTTCACTAATTTAATTGATTTTATCCCTTAAATATATTAATATAATTAGTATTGCTAAAATATATTGTTATATGAAATTTCAGCTTTTTATAAGCATTTCTTTTCTTGATGTCCTCCCAAAAATATTTCAGATAGTTTAATAAGTTTTCGGTAGTCATCTCTCACAATAGACTCTTTTAGTTATTTAGAGTAAAACCCATTAAGTTTATCAATTTCAGAGTTTACGGCCTATTCACCAGACCCTTCCGGGTAACTAGCCACTCCCTGTGAAAATATACATTTTTATCAAAGTATACACATAAATAAAACTATATTTTAACATTTGTCAATAATTTATAATATAAGGGTCACATAATAACAAACACAAAATGACTTACGATCGAAGACCTCGCGGAGGGTTCAGATGCAAGTCGGCACGGGTTCCCGTTTATAGAATGAGCTGAAATTTTTACTGGGAGTATATAAACACGTAATAAATATAATTAGAGGGTGTGCGTAAAAAAAATAAAAATAAGGGACACCCTAGTGTATATAGACCACATCAGGTAAAATTAACGATTTCTTAAGCAGTTTAGAACATCTGTTGGAACTTGTGTGCATTGAACACAAAATAGTCCTGGTCGCAGGCGACTTTAACATAGATTTGTTGAAGGATAGTGCAGATAAACTTAATTTTCTATCAGTGATACAATCTTTTGGTTTAAAGCAATCAATTTTTAAAACACCAGAATCTCTCACAATTCAGCCTCATGTATAGACAATATCTTCATAAACATAGATTATGTAGAGACAAATGTTTTAAACACGTTTATCTCTGACCACACCGCACAAAAAATATCTATTAAACTAAAACTAGCCCAAAAAAATATTATACAACAAAGGAGGATTTTTTCAGATGAAAATAAATCATTATTTTTGGATTTAATGAAAGGGGAGGACTGGTTTGAAATATACAACATAAACAAAAAAGAGGTTAATAGTCAATACCTTTGTAAATATTTTTACTGCAAATTTTAATCATTGCTTTCCTACCAGGTCAATTATGCAAACCTCAAGAAAATATAAAAATATAGATAATCAACAAATTAAATTCTGCAAAAATAAATTAGATATTTTCAAGAGTAGATAATAGGTATAAAGATCAATATAAAAATACAAAAAAAGAATATGACAATTTGTTAAGGGCGGTGAGGTCAAAAAACTATGAAAAACGTTTAACTTCATCCGACAATAAATCAAAGTGTATGTGGAGCATATGCCGAGAAATATCCGGAGAAACAAATAAAAATGCAGACATCGAGCTTGAAGGACATCCTGAAAAAATAGCAAACGACTTCAATGAGTATTTCTTATCTGTGGTTCCCAGTCTTTTGAAAGAGTTAAAGCATCCAACACCAACGACTATAAATATTGAATCAAATAACCAGTCAATGTTTTTAAGACCAGTGACTCCAACAGAAATATGTAAACTTGCAAAATCTGTAAAAAAATAAGCATAGTAGTGGAGTTGATGAACTACCAATAAGCATCATGAAAAAAACTATACCTGTAATCACAGAAATTCTTTGCTATATTATAAACAACTCTTTCAGACAGGGCATCTTCCCTAAACAATTAAAAACGTCTCTAGTAAAACCTCTTTTCAAAAAAGGTGACCACAATTCAATTGAAAATTACAGACCAATAAGTCTATTGCCAGCCTTTTCAAAAGTATTTGAATTAGCAATGTGTCATAGACTTATAGAACATATGAATAAATGTAATCTGTTTAACAAACATCAACATGGATATTTGCGTGGCAAATCAACTGACACTGCAATTTTTCAATTTATTAAAACACTCCTTAACAACATTGAAAAGGGAAACCTTTGGCATGTGCTTGGATTTATCCAAAGCCTATGATTGCATTGACCACAGAATATTATTGAGAAAGCTGGAGCTATATGGTGTTAGAGGAAATGCCTTAAAGTTGTTCGAATCATATGTAACAGATAGAGATCAAAAGGTAAAAATTTCAAAAGGAGGTCAAAACTGGTTTTCGGATCTTGCCAAATGTAATATGGGAATTGCTCAAGGAAGTATAGTGGGACCAATCAGAGTTTCACCAATAGAAGAAATAATATGTTATGCCGACGACACAAACCTCACTACAAGTTGCAAGAATCTTGATAGCTTAATAGCAGCAGGGGATTCTCTCTTTAGTAGAGCTAGTAACTGGTTTATAGAAAACAAGCTAATCATAAATAAAAACAAAACAACTTCTTTAATCTTTAGAACAAAGTCAGCAAGACTTGAAAGACCAGACATAGTGAATCTTGATGAAACTGAAGTTGAAGTTGTAAATCACACCAAATTTCTTGGAGTTAGTATCGACGAATTTTTGAATTGGTCAAATCATATAATACAAACTGTGCAGAGGCTTAATTCAATATGTTATGGTATTAGAGTAATTTCCAAATACATGAATGAGACCAGTTTAAAGATTTTGTACCATGCAAATTTTGAATCAGTTTTTAAATATGGAATTATTTTCTGGGGAGGGAATAGCTTAATAGATAGAATATTTGTAACTCAAAAAAGGAGGATAATAAAAAACATGACATTTAAAGAAAGCTGTAGAGGTATATTCAAAACCTCAAACATTTTAACAGTTTATGCAGTGTACATATATGAATCAGGGTTCCCTCTCACCTGGAAATCCTTGAAAACCTGGAATAGTCAGGGAATCCGTTTAAGTCCAATAAAATCAGGGAAAAGTCA